TATCTGTTTATTAAGCTTGTGAGCAGCAGCGGCTCCAGAACATGAATATCAGAGGTGCAAACGTTGGCTTTGATTCCTGAATCTCTAACACAAATTTTACAATTTACATGACATTTTCTTAAAAAATTAAAATTAAAAATAATATCTGTGCTACATGCTTAATATTTATTGTTGTTTGTTTTGTGTCACGCACAAAGTTGTCACATTTTTCTCCTTCTCTCCACTAAATGAGGTCAAGGCCATGTCTTGAGCACACCCGGGTTAATAATTAAATCAGTAACAGAGGAACTTGTAAACTGAGTGTGTACAAAAACACAGACTGGTACAGCTGTGTGTGCAGTGGTTTGTGCACATATATTCATCCATTTTCCTATAAGAAGTCACATATTTACATCAATGAGGACCGACTGTGGGGAATCAAAGTGTACAACGCACAAGATATTACAAAGTACTAACAGCTGATGTGGTGTCCGGTGGTATATCTCCTCTCTGTCCTCTGTTGGTTTCTGCTGATGTCCAGTCTGTCTGCTCCAAACTGCTTGACTCATGATTTATCTTCAAATTTAGTCTCATATAGATTTTTATAGAGCTTTTACTTTTTGAAAAAACAACAGATTTTGTTTCCCATCATCCTGCGATAAAAAAAGAACCGATTAACGTTTAGAGTAAGTCCTGTAAACATGCTAAAACCAGCAGAAAGTGTTCATGGGACAGATGTTTCTGCTCCAGGGAGACTCACTTAGGGCTGGCTGCAGGTCCCATATCTGTCCACCTGCTGATATGATAAATCTCCTGACAAACTGGTCCTACATAGTTTCTGCAAATAGGCAAAACATTTAAAATGGATCACCAAAAATAATAAAAAAATTGATTTAAAAGTAAACGTAGTTACAAACGCACTGATGAAAACAATGCACTGCAAGATAAATAACCACCATGATGTAAAATAATTAGAGCAGAAACTAGCTTGGATGAGCGCCCCCTTGTGGCTGCATGCAGTTCAACTTTTAAACCCCGCCCCTTTGTGTAAACAAACAGGACAATTGCCTCATTAAAAAAACTAATACAATCCAGATTCACTCACTAAAGCAGGGGTATTAGAGGGGCTATCTGGGTGAGTCTTTAACCAACCAGCTCTAGTCTCCAGTCTGCAGACTCCAAAAATAAAACATGGTGACTCCCACAAACAAAACAGATGTTTTGTCTGCAATTTTAAACAACAAGAGGAAACTGAGCCACTTCGTCCATCTTCAATAAAACAAAAAGCAAATTATAAAAAAAAAAAAGTCTAAGTCCTGGCAATCTTGAGAAAAGGGAATAATCAACTCATAATCTTGAGAAAATTCATAACAGCTGGTATGGCCTTTTTAGGCTTCCGTATAAAACAGATTTTTTTCACTTAGTATTTTAAAACACACATTTTATAAAAGCTGAAACAACATATTAAACTTTATAGCATGCTAATGCAGCACGGTGGCGCAACTCGTAGAACTGCTGCCTCTCAGCGAGCAGGTCCTTGGTTCAAATCCCGGTCCAGGGGCCTTTCTGCGTGGAGTTTGCATGTTCTCTCCGTGCATGCGGTTTTCTCCGGGTGCTCCGGTTTCCTCCCACAGACCAAAAACATGCATGTTAGTCTGATTGGTAACTCTAAATTGTCCCTAGGTGTGAGTGAGAGAGTAAATGGTTGTTTGTCTCATTTGTCTCTATGTGGCCCTGTGATGGACTTGCGACCTGTCCAGGGTGTACCCCGCCCCTCGCACAGTGATAGCTGGACATGGGCACCGGCGACCCCCATGACCCAAAATGGAAGAAGCGTGTAAAAGAAAGATTAAACAGCATGCTTATGTAGTTTAAAGCAGAAAGTGTTTTGATGCTAACCTAAATTTTTAAAAGTCATCAAAGGTGCTTCTTTACAGCTTCCTTTTTAAAACCTTCACACTAATTTTAAATAATAATAATAATAATGTCATCACAATGTCAGCACTGTATGTTTCCATACAATGGCGAAATTAGTCTCTGCATTTAACCCATCCACCACCAGGTGGTGCAGTGGGCAGCTATTGAAAGCGCCAGGGGGGGCATTTTGGGGATGAGACGTGCTGCCCAGAGACGCCACGTGATGTGCAGTGACTGGGGATCGAACCTGGGACTTTTGGGTCCCAAGCCGGCTGCCCTGCCTCTACACCATCTCGGCCCCCAAATCAGTTTTGAATGATTAAAAAAAAACTACTCAGGTCTTTTTTGCACTTTCCATGATAAACCAGGAAGTGTGACGTCGAGGGCGCCCAACATCCGAAAGTTCCCAAACTATTAGATGTGAGGATGGAGGGCCTGTGTGTGTGTGTGTGTGTGTGGGGGGGGGGGGGGGGGGGTTCAGTGCATTTCTATTAATTGTGTAAACACGTCCGAAACTACTACTGGAATTAGATTTTTCCACTCTCAAAAGAATAAGAAGCTTGGGCTGATTCAGTAAGCTCCGGCACGAAAGTTAATGACTGCACCAACCATGTTGGAGCACCATGTGCAAGGACTTGTGTGGATTTCCTACTGAAACATGGCATACGCTTAAATCGAGAAAACAGCGTACGCACAAATAAATCCAGACGTATGAAACCATGCATGAAGCCAAGCACACTTCCTTTGTACGTCCCAATCAACGTGGAACTGAGTGCACATCCACTGACTCCTCCCTCGACACGCCTCCATCTAAATATGCAGATTTAAATCTGCCCTGCACCTGAGAAATCTCCTCTCTGCGCTATCAAGAAGCATATCTACATGTGGGGAAAGAGGAACTTCACGGAATGTGCGTTGGCAGGGGCGGTCCTAGTCTGTTTGGTGCCCTGGGCGAACAACCCCTCTGGAGCCCCCTCCCCCAGAGGTGTGGACACGCTCCACCTTTACATATCAATTAGATTATCATGTATCATCACAGACACACTCAAAACGTATTTGAATATTTTATTAAAAAAACTTGAAATTGAATAAAATAAATACTATAGAAAATAAACCCACATTTCTAAATAGCACCAATAGAAGAAACCAGGAAAATCTGTGTACAACAATTACACTCTGACCATGACACAAATGTCTCTGCACATTGTGCACAACTGTCAAGGAAGGTCTGAACCTTTTCTGAATAAGACAGTTACACTATCACACTTCAAGAACCACAAATTGAATTAAATACATAGTTATAAAATAAATAAATAAAATTAAATACAGTGCAGATTAAAGTGCACAACAACTTGTTCAAAACTTTACAAATATTATGCAACCAGTTCTTGTCCATCTTCCATGTGTGTAATTGACACTTGAGTGGAGGTTATCACCACCCAACCCCAACATGAGTCAAAACCACTTAGGCCTAAACTAATTCACCTTCCTTGGTGTTCAGATTAATTTTTGTATTACATTTTCAGCTATTTCACAAAAATAAGCTACTATTGGCTATATTGACAATATTATGAATGAAATAATGTGTTACGTTTTGCCATCATTGTATGTAATGGCGAAATTAGCTCTCTGCATTTCACCCATCCACCACCAGGTGGAGCAGTAGGCAGCTATTGAAAGCGCCAGGGCAAGGAGCAATTGGGGATAGGGTGTGCTGCTCAGAGACACCACTAGATGTGCAATGACTGGGGATCGAACCAGGGACTTTCAGGTCTGAGTCGACTGCCTTGCCCCTACCCCATGTGTTTGTTTGGGCGTAATCAATGATGTCAATGGTTTGAAATTTTGAAATGTTTGATATTCTTAAAAATAAAAATAAATTCATGATTACAGTGTACTAACCAGTGCACTTTGGTTTCTAAGCACAGTGTACCCACTACAAAAATATAGACTACACCACTGGAGCTGATGATGCATGGCCCAGCAAGGGAGACAAGAGAAACAACCCCCCCCCCCCCCCCCCCACACACACACACACACACACACACACACACACACACACACACACACACTCTTCTTTCACAAGACTTGAACTGAAGCTACACCCCTGCACCTGGCAGAGGGCGCCCACTCCCTGCAAGTGGGTGAGAGGACACCAACATGTAGGCCAGACAGGCTATATGAAACAATACATTTTATTATTTTTGAACAGAAGGGTGGAGACGGGCGCTCCTGCCGCCTTGGGCATCTGCCTACACCGCCCATATCAGAAACTGCCACTGTGAGTTGGAGACGCTCCGAAATGAAGTAGACGTAAAAACATTCTGTTTGTCCTCTGGCATTAGCGCCAAGTGCAAGAGGAGCTGGGACAAGAAGAGCATCATCATCAGGCCAGGACTCTGAGGTTTACCCTCATCTGCAGACCAGAGGTCACTCTTTCAGGGATGAGGAACTTTGGTTTGAGAGAGGAAGAACAGAAAAATCTTTGTTTTATTGTTTGAAAAAGAAAATTAAATCTTTGTGAAAATAACTCGTCCATCATTAAACAGGGACGGAGGCCTCCGTGTTCAACTGTCCCCCTCCTACAATGATGTTATTACTAGTATCACTCAGCCCTCTGTGGATAGCAGCCATCAGGGCATTAACGATCAATTGTTAGGTTGATGATGGTTCTCTTTTTACATGTGAACACTTAGTTTTGTCTGTCTCCAGCAAACTGGTTGATCCACGACAAGACGGTTCTATTTTTAAAACTTAGTTTGTTGCAGCTCCTCAGACTGAAGAAGTCCTTTGGATAAAAGAGGAAACATTTCACCAAAGAAGAATCCATCCAGAGGACCTGACTCAATCTGGTTAGATTAATCTACCTGGATTATTGAGCATCAGGACATTCAATCATTCTCATACACACATTGACACAGCTGAGCATTGACACCACTCCCTCCACCCGCGCGCGCACGCACGCACACACAACACACTCAGTGTGGTGGGCGTGATTATCCGGGTCAAAGTGCTGACCGTCTGTTTTTGTCTTCCTCCTCAGCCCGAACAGAAAACAACACTTCGTGTCTTCTGCTCCTGAGACCCTGACTGACTCTGGTCCGGCCCTGCGCGCGCGCCTCCAGTCCAGCCCGTCGTCCGCGCGCTCGCTCCACACCAAGGAGCGGTCACCGCCTGGCCCTTGAGATGCAGCGCGAGCGCCTGCTCAAAATTCTGGTCATCGGCGACCTGGGGGTGGGCAAAACCTCCATCATCAAGCGCTACGTGCACCAGGTGTTCTCCCAGCACTACCGGGCCACCATCGGAGTGGACTTCGCCCTGAAGGTCCTGAAGTGGGACCAGCAGACCGTGGTTCGGCTGCAGCTGTGGGACATCGCCGGTGAGGACAAGTTTTTTTTCTCTTTATGACCCACACACAGACAGCTGTGTTGAAGACAGTGATCTGCTCAGTCAAACCCAGTGAATGTCCAATAAAAGACAGTTTGTCCAAGTAAATGTCCAGCTGGAGTCAGGACACAACCATTGCCTGCTCTGAAATTGGAGATTATTCCGGCTGAGTCTCTTTATTTATTTATTTTTCTTTCTTTCATGACATTTTTAAATTAGTCAACAAATATTTGTCCTAGTTTCAAACTATAAACTCAAATATATAAAAAGTTGTCCTCAGCTATAGCAAGTGTTGCAGTTTGGAAGGGTTTCCTCCAGTAGTTTTCCAAATATGTGCAGTTCTGAAATGCGGGTATGCGCTCAATGTAAACAAAGGCTGAATCTGTTGAAAACCAGGTGGGAGCTTGAGTCTAGGGGAGCTGTAGTCAGTGAGGGTGAATGAACATGGCAGAGAATCTATGAGACATTTGACTGGAAATGAAAATTATAATAAAAAAATAAAAATTAAAAAAACAACGTCAGGAATAAATATCAGGGATCAAATTTTTGCTAAACTTCTAGGCTAGTAAGTTAATGTTTCAACATTTTTCCAACTCTAGTTAAATAAAAGTTTAGAACTCAAATCTTAGTTTCTCTCCAGTCCGTTTAGATTAGATATTAGAAACTGCCTAGGTGTTGCTATTTCATTTGTGCTACAATGCATTCTGGGTAAATGATGTAAACCGGTTGCTTCAGTGCTAGCTCCAGTCGGCTTGAATGGTAATTTTGGACATTAGCTGATGTTCAGCCCTTTAATTTGAACTAGAGTGCGTTGACAGAGAGGAGAATGTAGAAATGCTTAACAGAAATTAGTTTTTGTGTTAGCTTCAGAGTTATTTATTTATAGTGTTAGCTTCAGAGCTAATATTGTTTACAGTGTTAGCTTCACTTATTTATTTATAGTGCTAGCTTCAGAACTAATATTGTTTATAGTGTTAACTTCAGAGCTAATAATGTTTATAGTGGTAGCTTCAAAGCTAATATTATTTATAGTGCTAGCTTCCGAGCTAATATTGTTTATAGTGGTAGCTTCAAAGCTAGTATTATTTATATCGTTAGCTTCAGAGCTAATATTTATTTATAGTGTTAGCTTCAGAGCTAATATTGTTTATAGTGTTAGGTTCAGAGCTAGTATTTATTTATAGTGTTAGCTTTAGAGCTAATATTGTTTACAGTGTTAGCTTCATTTATTTATTTATAGTGCTAGCTTCAGAGCTAATATTGTTTACAGTGTTAGCTTCATTTATTTATTTATAGTGCTAGCTTCAGAGCTAATATTGTTTAGTGTTAACTTCAGAGCTAGTATTATTTATAGTGTTAGCTTCAGAGCTAATAATGTTTATAGTGGTAGCTTCAAAGTTAATATTTTTTATAGTGTTCGCTTCAGAGCTAATATTTATTTATAGTGTTAGCTTCAGAGCTAATATTTATTTATAGTGTTAGCTTTAGAGCTAATATTTATTTATAGTGTTAGCTTCAGAGCTAATATTATTT